TGCCTTGTCGCCTCAACATCGGAGTTGTGTCGCCCCAACATCGTAGTTGTGTCGCCCCAACATCAAAGTTGCGTCGCCCAAACGCGTAACTTCGCTTATCAAGTAAAAGTTTGTAAGATTCTCCGATCGATTTACGCGAACGATCGACTTATAACATAAACATAACACTGCTGTAGGATTTATCGATCGATCGAAGGAAAAGTTTGTAAGATTATTACGATGTAACTTTAAGTGTTAAGTTTTAAAACTGTAAGTTTGTAATCTATTCATCGATCGATTAAATCAAACCACTTATGGAATACAACGCGCGGGGAACAAAAACCACAAACGAACAGAAAACGAATAACGTTTCTGTTGAATTGCCATCGAATTTAATTCTATATCTCTTTTTTGTTTTATTAGTTCAACCCCTGTAGAGCAACTGTTATTGAACGTAGTGGCCAGTTCATCGCAGGCGGACAGCAGCACAACCACAACGGGCAGGTTTTTGCGCCGAGGTTGCAGCGAAGATTGTGTCCCGCGTACGTAAGGAGGCAGAGGTCGAATACTTTAAACCCGCACCCGCCATAGTAAACCAGGTCCTACTGGAAGAGCTTCCCGATGTTCCATGTCCGGGTCTACCGAAACCAGCGCATCTGGCCAGAAACGCGAACCGCCTTCGTCAGAAACTCCGCCCCACAGAACCGCGTGACCTTGAGTTCGAGTTGGAACTGGAGCATGTCCCTGACAACTTCATCAGGAATGATGTTAGAGTAAGTAAAATGAATGTTAACTCTTATATTAGCACATACAAAACTAAATAAGTTATTCAACAAACTAAAAGGTTATTCGAGAAACAGTTAGTAATTGATTTTATAACTTAACATCACCACACCAAATCTTTCAAACGGACTGGAACAGTATTGTGATCATTATACAGCAGCTTACAGTAATTCAATTATGGCATGCGTTTGCTGCATAGATTAACCTAGTTATTATTTTGAAAACCACCCGTTTTTTATTGTTTTTACAATTTCACAACACAAAATCTTTATGGAATCCGTTTGCTCAATAGATTAATTTACTTATTAAATTCTAAAACCATCCTTTTAATTTTAAACCGTTTTACAGTTTCACAACACAAAATCTTTTAAACGGACTGGAACAATCTTGTAATCATATCATTATAAGGCAGTTTACTGTAGGTTAATTATGGCATTCGTTTTCTAGGTTGGTGGACGCCGTCATTTGATTTTCGCGACACGACACCAACTCGACCTACTCAACAGAGCAAAAAGCTGGTACGTGGATGCGACCTTTAAGCTGTGCCGTCAGCCGTTTACCCAGCTGTTAACAGTCAACGCCTTCGTAAAGGCAGATGACTACGTCAAGCAGGTGCCGTTGGTGTTTGTCCTTATGTCGGGCAAACGGAAGCGTGATTACAGAGCTGTTTTCCGAGAGCTGCTAGAGCTGTTACCATTCCCAGCGGTCGTACAGTCGTACAACCAAATTTTTTCGGCTTGATGGGTTACTACTATTTTGTATAGTTATGGGGCTACGCTCTGCGAGCTCTGCTATCATGGAACCTTTTTATAATGATATCGTGGTCGGAGAGCTTAACGATGACAGTGAGAGTTCAAACTTTAGTGATGTCATAAATCTGTTGATGTCCCATTTTTGATGGGAACTGGATGTCAAAGAAGTTCAACTTTGAGTACAGTCGATCAACAGACGTCACACCTTCAGGTTTGAAAAGGATTGGAAAATAGTGATGGAAATGTTCGCTTTCCTTTCAAAGCTGGTAGTTCTTCGGTGATGATTAGTATAGAAGTGCATGAGTTTTGTAGTTTGTTGGATTCAGGAGCGGCTGTTACCGCAGTAAACACAGAAGTTTGGCAAACTTATCTACACCACCACGCTCATCTAAATTTCAAAAGCCTGGAGTTAGAAAGTGTGACTTCGGTGGATGGACTCAATTCTCAAATATTTCGTTTTGAAGCCTTTTTTTCTGAAATATTTTTCTTACGATGTGATTCTTTAGAGAGATTTTCTTCAAAAATTTTGCTTTAAAATCGATTTCAGGAATTGTTACGGGAAAATTCAGTGATTTTTCCATGTGTTTGTTTGGAACATATTTACGCACAAATTTTAATGTTTAACCATTTTCAATTTATTCAAGTCCTTTCACTTTAGTATTTCAAAAAATATAGAAAAGCCACTGTAGATTTTGAATTGCCAACTATTACATTTTGCTTATTACTTTCTAATGTCGTTCATCAGCAAAATTAACTATCTGGTCTGTACAAACCAGTCAGTATGAATTTCGTTGGTCGGCATGAAAACGAGGCTGTACCTAAAACATTTTTAAAAAACCGGTATTTCATCGCAGTTTGATTCTGAAATTCTATCTTATAAATCTACAATTTATTTGCTTGAGCAATGTCTGAGAGAAAATATAGTATGCACAAGACTTCTGCCATTACTTTGGTCCACTGACTGCGATCCGAAACAGAAGACCTTTATGAATACCATGCTTGCAGGTAGAGAAAAGTACCCTTACCGAGTCCCTATTCCTGATTGCCCCCACAGCATCAAGTCAGTGCATTCCACTGAATTCTGGGATTGGATCGTCATTGACAGTTATCTAGTAAACGTAAAGCTACTCTTGTTATTGCATAGAGAAGATGAGGGCATAAAGAAATGCGTTTCATTAAAAGCACTTCGAATTTTAGACCACAGGGATGTCGAGACAGCACTGGAGATCCACCGAAAAGAGGTCCAGGATTCCATTCTAGACGAGAAAGTGAGCACTATATTAGTGCCCGCACTAGAATTCAAGCACTAGTGGGCTATCTCTTTTAAGCTACCCGGTAGGATTGACATTCTACCCAAAACGCAGCAGGCTATTAATAACTGATCGACTTCTTCAGGCAGTTTTCATCATTGACATGCACTGCCCTACGAATGTCACTTTAATCGCTGATGGTGGTGAGCCGGAGCACACCAATGGACGTGGAAGCAAGGCCAGATTTAAGAACCCAGCTGGCGTGGTGGTGAGGGAGGAGAAGCTTTACGTTTGCGATCAAGGGAATAGTACCATTAGAGTGGTAAATATAAGATCGCTTTTCTTCCACGCTTCCAGGATTGGCCAAGAAGATCCAGACGCCGAGGAAAGCCAAAGTGAGGAAGAGGATTTCGCCATAAGACGAATTCGCAAAGTGTCTGTGCACGATCTTTCCCCTCTTTCAGAGGAAAATGTACCTGATTTGGAATCGCCTTTTGCCATATGTGCAGCCACAAAAGATAACTTTGAACTTTATGTATCGGATTTTCGCCTTAGCAATGTTTTCACGATCAACAATGTTATGGAGGAGGAAACCAACTACATCGGGGAGTTAAAGGAACTGCTGTCATTTGACAGCTCTACTCTATAAATTTCGTTAGCCTTAACTCGCGACGAGCAGCACCTATTAGTAGGAGACGGAAATGGGTCAAATGTTCATGTATGTCAAGTACGTGGAGGATTGAAGACTAAAACAATTTCAAATACTCCAGGCCCAACAGGAATTGCAGTTACAGAAAGCGGGACAGTGTTTGTATCTTCTAGCAAAGAACACTCACTCTTTAGCTTGAAGGAAGGAGACTTATTTCGAGGAACTGAGATCACACATAAAGTCAGTGGAGGTAGTGCAGGCCACTGCGATGGTGTCAAAAGCCGGTGGAATATGCCAACTTCTCTGTGCGCCTACAGAAACACTGTTTTTATTTGTGACACCAGCAACAAATCAGTAAGGATGCTGACGTCAGCAAAGGCCCTTATCCCTCTGAAAAAAAAGCTTGCCCAGTTTGCCAATGTGTTTAGGATCGACGCGAAAGCAAAAAAAGAAGACCTACCAGGTACCTTTGAAGGTCACGTCAAGCATGTTGAGGAAGTAGTTACGTTTCTCAATCACCACGGATATAAAGCTTTAGAGAGCAGAGGCAAACGAAACACAAATGGTCCCGACAATACCTCGAGCCACAAGACAGTCGTTCCCGTTGTGCTAGAATCACTTACCAGTCTTGTTAACACAGTGACAGAGATTGGACATGAACATCTTCTTGATAGAATCTGTTTTGAAGGTATGACGACATTGAGTGTGGAATGCTTTTTCAAAGGAGTGAGAGCAGACCACGACATGCCCACCGTGGCTAACTACGCTTTCAGAAGAGCTCGTTGCGTTGCCCAATTCATTTTATCCGGAGAAAATAATCAAGGGTGAGCCTCCGAATATTAAGAGACGACCAAGTAAGCAGTCGCAAATCAGCAAGGGAACAGGAAGTAAAGAGGAGGACGAAAGGCGAGAAGCCGTAATGCACGAGTTTGTCGGAGAATATGGAAAAGGTGTACGCCCGCAAACGTCCCCTCAAAGACGAAAGAGTTGACTGGCACACTTCCATATGCCCTCAGTATGCGTCCCTCTGTCATCACAGCCTCATCGGAAGACAACCACGACGTAACAACAGCCTGCAAAATAGAAGATGCTAATGTCGTACTGCAGGGTAGAACTGTGCGGGTGCAAACTGTTTACCAGAATACGGATGTCGTTACTGTGAGACATAACCGCAGAAGAGAGATTTCGCCATTCTGGCTGGCTATTCTCTTACAAGACGTTCAATTAGAAGTTGATGGAGGCAATTTTTTAGGAAAGAAAGTACAATTTCAGTGGCTGAACCAGACAAGTGACCCTCTTACGTACGCTCCCGATGTCTGTGATCGGAACTCACCCAACTGCATTCTAACCCTAGTTTTGGGATTCACTGCCGAGGGTTCAAGGATCACTCAACGTCTGAGGAGGACGAGAGGCTCTGCAGGCTTGCTAACGGTGACCTGGATGACGAAGATGATGGAGATGATGAAGATCAAACTCTAGAGGATGAGAGAGCAGCCGGGGAGAGTGAAAGGGAGGTGTCGCTTTTCCAAGATTAGCAGGAGTGAGCTTATCAGGGCGACGGACCACACGTTTTCAGTTGTGATAAACTTTGAACAAAGTTATATATGGATATTTATGGGAGCCAGGAGAGGTCTATTTATAGGTCGAATGTTCGGCATTTAAATGTAAACTGCTTTCTTTGATGTTTGGCATTTGGAATAACAAATTTAAGATTTCATAAGGCATCATATCCCGACTAGGATAAGATATAAGGATAAGAAAGAACATTTTCTAGAAAAGGAAATTGCGGCGGGCCATCTGAAACCTTATAGAATCATTGCTCTGAAGGATTCATAGCTGACGTAATACGACATGACTTGGCTAACCTTTTAAAGAAAAAAGGAAGTATAGAAAAGAGAATCTGTGATTCTTCAAAAATTACCGCGTAAATGAAGATCTTTCGCGATTTTTCAAAAGTTTAAGTATAGTTGAATTGGTTAAACACAGTTTTATGCGCAATCTCGTTGAACATCGTCGCCAATTACATCTAGGAAAACAAGCTTTTCTGTCCGCGATTTACTCGGAATGGTATTAAAATTATATTCCAGTTTAAATTTTTACCTCAATACCATGGTTTTTGTTTAAAAGGAAAGTTTAAAAGTAATTTGAGATGATAGTGAAATCTTTTCAAGCCGATTTCTTGGCAGTTCCAAGTCATTTTATATTTAAAAAATTGGCCATCTTTTCCCAGTGGGAACAATGCTATGCTGTACAAGAAAAATTTTTAAGTCCAACAGCTATTTACAAATTAAAAATGATAAGTAATGATTTGAACTATTAGTTCTTTGTTACTGTTAAATCACTTGAAGAACCTCGAGGAACCTGTATGGAAGAAAAGCCGCCTCGCCTCTTCAGAGTAGCTAAAAAGATGTGGAATGAATGGACATTGAATTTAAGAGACGGACAGTCTCAACAGGTATTTATTTCTACAACAAAAATTTATCCCTTAGTTTGCTGTTATACATTTCTCATAAACATCAAATGTTGTTATGGAAATATGAATAAACAAACATGCATTCACAAACATGTCCTTCAATAGCGAAATCCACCATTGAAGTCACTCCTAGAAAACGAAATGCGAAAATTAGGGGCAAACCAGAAACTAAAATCTAGAATCTTTTGTGTTTTGGAATTTGGAATCCAGCACCTGGAATGCGGAATCCACAGCGTGGAATTCAGAATCTAATACTGTCCTGGATTACCTTACATGTGGCAAATAGACGGTTCTATCCAGGTCTCGTGATCTTATACATGAAAACGAGGCAATTTAGTGTTGGCCATGTTTGTTCCATTATTTGGTTTACCGTTATGCCTTGAATTTGAGGTTATTAAGATTCCTTCTTGACTTTTCATAGCTCTGTTCATCTACGACAAGATAATACGATAAGCCTGCTAAATTTTGTGTGGTTTAGATTTGAAAAATACCTGTGTGCAAATCTAGTATAACTGTAAGTAGAGTTATGTTACGGATGAGATTTTATCGCTGAGGTTCACTATGCTACCAAAGCTGACACGTAATTTCCTCCTCATGAATACAAATATTACTCAATTACAAAGTTATCGATATATAACAAAGCCAATACAGCTTTTGGTGCAAGAGATTTTTCAAGCAAATGGTTATTTAAGTGAAGTAATTCTCTCTACAGAATGACAAAGCCATTCAGAAGAAGTTGCTTTCAGTTTGCCTCCTGCTAAGAGACAAAAGATCAAAAAAGCTGGCAATCACACAGTGCTAGTCGTTCACAGCAACCTTTCTATCAAGTATAGTGAGACATGGCACTTAAGCAATCCATCAATTGTGACAAGAAATCTACAGGAGGCCTAGTTGGGATGACCAAGAAGGACGGTGCTGTTGAACGTTGATTTCTGACAAATCATGAACGAGCTGCCATCACAAGATCGGTGAAAGGAATGTGCAATCTATAAGATGAGCGGGTGGGTAGCTAGAGAAACCAGAAGGATGTTCAAGATCTTGTCATCTTGGGATGATGAAAATCCATTTGATCTAAAGGTAGATAAGGACACTGCTGACATCGAACCTCTTAGGAACATTGTGACTGGTGTCGTGCTACCTGAAAAAGTTGCAAATCGTCTCATAAATGCATTGAGCATAGGGCATCGGGGAATGCTCAGGTTTATCACCTCAAACTTAGACAGTGATAAAGTCAGCTTTGGGGAGCCCCTTTCCAAACTGAAGATCGAGAAGTTCGAGACAACTATCAAGAGGTCTCTAATAGCGTCAAACGAGGAAGTCATTAATCTAAGCACAGATCAAAATTTATTTGGGCGACTGTTTGTTGTTGCCAAAAGAGAAATAAACCTTGAAGAAATCCTCAGTTACGAGTTATGCTGTGTCCCTGTCTCTCTTGTTCACCCAGATGGAATTGTACGTGAGACAACAAAAAGCTCACTGATGGCGATATTAGAGAAGGATATCGACTCTTCAGTCGGTTTGCCTGTGTTAAGCAAGAAAACAACGGTTCTCATTGATGCAATGGCACTGATTCAAACCCTTAAGTCTGCAGGAGCTGCAACATTTGAAGAAATGGCTGGTAAATATTGTGAAGTTATACCTCGGGTGTTAGGACAGAACGACAGCAACCGCGTAGACCTCATATTCGACCAGTACCACACACTATGGAGATAAAGATTCACACCAGAATACGTCAGTTCCAATGGGGGAGAATTCATGTCAAATCCAAAGAATACGTAGAGCCTAACCAACTTTCTTTCCCATTCTTTATCCGTTCTTTGCATGAGAGAACTATTATCACACCAACAAGTCGTTCTAGCAGGAGAATTCTCAGATGGTAGGGTGGCTTTTTGATCAATTATGGATATTCCTTCGATGTACCCTCGTCATGTTCTGATCATGAAGAAGCAGATACTCAAAATCTACTTTATTCCAAACATGCAGCCAACGCCTATTAGAGAATTGTCATTCAGTTGCCCAACATTTCCTGGGTGTCGAATGTGAAAAGCTGTGGCTTAAAACAGGAGTCAAGGATAGAGCAGGATTTATTCTCATTTACTCTCTACAAACTAGCCCTGGTCCTCTCATCTCCAAGTCCTTACCAGCCTACCATGCATCAACAGGTTGTGACACAACAAGTGCATTTTCTGGTATTGGTGAGAAGAAAGGAATAATGATGTGCAAATGGACAGCTCAGACTCCTCCGGTGATTCAGATATTGATGACTTTGTTGACATCTGAGCATTTCCTTACTGAAAAAACTGAGAACATGATTTAAGTCTTATCCCTCCGTGGCCTAGTTTTCGGGTTTAAGATTACGCGACCTGAATAAAAAGGTTTAATACTTCTAAGGTATTGCTGATGGACTAAACCAGCTGAAGAACACTTAATTTGCAAGATAAACGTGATTAAGTTTGTTCTGAATTAAATGACAATTGATCGTCGCTGGATAAAAGACAAATTTTATACTTGATGAGGTCACGTGATGGATCATATGAAATCAGAAAAGCGCTTTTTTGGTTTTTTCAAAAGGTCTTAGTTGTAATATTCAAACGTGGGTGACCTCTCCCAAACGTGAGTTACACTTGATTTAAAATTTAACTCGTTAATCATCATGTGCAAGAAGAGGAATTACAATTGAAGCATGAAGGGCTTAAATACCAAAAGCAGTGAGATGAAGCAAAATTATGCTTCGATCCACAAAAATAGCAACTTCAACTCGAAATTGAGATTGCCAAGTTAGACGCTGAAGAACAAGCGTATGCCAGGACCTCGCAACTTCATTGAAAAGCTTCTCATGATCATTCACCCAAACAAGTACCAAAGGGCGAAAGTATCTGGACAAGTCCATCAGACAACTCCAATGGTCACTCAACCTGGTATTAAAATTAACCCCCTTTCATCTCACACGACTCCGTGGCTCCCGGCAAATCTACCAAAGTTCGGGCTCAGCGGGCGTCAAGAGCAAGAGGGAAGCCTATCCCTAAGCCATTCTGCAGTCGGAGAAAAATTCAGACCGGATATGATGGATATCTAGCAGCATCAACAACACCACAATGAGCAACTCATGCACATGCAGCAATATTGCGATCAACAGTTGCAACAACTACTAGGGCAACATCAGCATCTGTCCCTTACACTGACATTACCCATGCTGAAGTACAGACGGAGATCCTGTTAATTACTGATATTTTATCCGCTCCTTTGAAAATTTGATCGAGGCCAAGACAAAAAACAGCAGCACAAGACTGTACTATCTCATGCAGCACACTTTTGGTGATGTGCAAGAGCTCATGTGAGGCTGTCTATCAATGCAGCCAGAAGAATGTATTCAGGAGTCACGGAAGCTTTTGAAAACAAGATATGGCCAGAACTATAACATTTCTATTGCCTATGTCAAGCGCGTTACAAATGGGCCTTCGATAACACACGAAGACAGCCCAGTATGACAAAAGTTTCCTGTCCATCTCATGAGCTGCAAAAACACCTCGAAGGAGATTGGATGCCTCAATAATGTCGAGACTCCAGACAGTTTACAGAGGCTGATAGAAAGGCTTCCTTTTCAACTAAGGCAAAGATGGCACGAAGTTGCTGATGAAATCACTAGTAACAAGCAGAGAGAAATCACGTTCAAGGATATTTCAAGATTTTTGGAATCGAAGGCCAGGGCCCTAGATCCCCCAATATTCGGATACATCAACAGCAATCTATAAAGCAAAGGAAAAGATTCCAAAAATCACAAGCCACGAAAGAGCGAAACCTTTGGTATTCAGGGAGATGTACTCAGCTATACCATTGGCTATGGTAATAAGAATTCTCCAGCTGGAGCTGATCTGACAAAAGTGACACCAAAGTGCTATTTATGCAATAGTGACCACTGGTAGACACTCTGTCGTGAGTTTAAGAAACAGTTTGTGGAGCAGAGACTTACCTTTGTGTGCAAGAAAGGTCTTTGCAGGAATTGTTTCCTATCTGGTCACATCGTTTGGTCACACCTCCCCAAAGAATAGCTACTGCAAGATTCCTCTTGTCCTACAAAGAACTCGACATTCCTTCATCCAAAGGTACCAGATCGTAACATTGGGAGCCTTCCTTCTAATGAAAACCAGAACAGCAAAGACGACAGAAGAACAGCAGAAGTCAACAATGGCAATGCAAATAACAGCTACGTCAACAGCGATAGTTGCTGTGGCCTAAATAGATCCAGCCTTTCAATGACCAGTCTTCCCATTGTCCCTGTAAAGGTTAAAGCCATTGGTTCAGACACTCCAGTTTTGACATGCCTTCTTAGACTGGGGATCAAACAAAACATTCTACAGCCATCAGCTCATGGAAAAGTTAGCTGTCGAAGGCAAGAAAACCTCCCTCTCTTTGACTACCTTGGAGAAGCAAAAAAAGCATAACCGAATGCTGGGTTTTCAAGCTGAAGGTGTTCAACTTGGATGAACACAATTTTGTTGAGCTCCCCAATGTCTTCTCAACCCTAAAGCTACCAGTTAGTGAGGAAAGCATCCATCAAAAAGAGGATGTGAACATGTACCCTAACCTCAAAGGTATCCTGCTTCCTAAGATTGATGCTTGCATTGGCCTGCTGATTGGAAACGATGTCCCAAAAGCCCTAGAACCCAAGGAAATAAGAGAATGCACAGAACAAGGCCCATATGCGATATGAACTATGTTTGGGTGGATGATAAACAGCCCTTTGGAGCGGAAGGGCAATTATCTTCACACCGCGAACTTCATCAGAGCTCACGACGAACTAAGCCAACAATTTGCAAAGTTCTGCAGCTTGAAGTTCAGCAACTACATCTACGACAATGATCACGCTCTGAGCATCATGGAGCAGTCTGTAACGCTTAAGGAAGGACATTACAAAGTACCCTTACCATGGAGGAACACCCTACCTTACTTTCTGCACAACCGACCATTAGTGGAACACCACTTGAAACTGTGATGAAAGACTGCTGAAAGACCAAGAACTTCTCTTGAAGTATTCTTCATTCCTGGATGACCTGGTGTGGAACGACCACGCTCACAAGGTACCACGGGACCAGCTGGATCATCCTGTCAGTGCTTTGTGGTATCTACCTCATCACCCTGTTCTCGATCCAAACAAGCCAGACAAAATCCGCGTCATGTTTGATTGTATGGCAAAACACCAGGGAACATCACTAAACAACCAACTCCTTCAGGGACCTGACTTAACGAACAACTTGATTGGTATCCTGACACACTTTGAACAAGAGCCTGTCACTCTCATGGCCGGTCGATGTTTCACCAAGTCTGTGCCAATCCTCATGACTATGATGCCCTACTCTTCGGCACCACATTGTCACCAAGCTGTGCAAACTTCGGTCTTTGGTGAACCGCATTCAGGAAGGAAGCAGTTGACATTATCAAAGACAACTTCTACATCAATGACTGCCTCAAGTCAGTCTCATCGGAAAATAAGGCCATTGTATTGGTGAAGGAGTTCTGTCAACTACTCTCTAAAGGAGGATTTCCCTTGACTAAATGGATCTCTAACTTGTAAAAAATCACTAGTCCATCCCAATGTCCAAGAGGGCAGGATCTGTGAAAGATGAGGAATCTTATCTGTGGTCAGCTCCGTCTATGACCCATAAGGGTTTCCAGCTCCATTCACCCTGCCAGGTGATGATCGGAAAGAACAATTCCTTTCTATCTTGGTGTAGGCAAAGAAATCCAGATATTTTTGTTAATGGTTGCCCTTGTCATCTGGTGCACATAGCTGCCAGTAATGGTCATGACTCTTTTGCAAAAGTAATTGGTGCGAACATTGAAGATTTGCACATTGATCTCTACTACCGGTTTGAAAGAAGCACCTAGAGAAAAGGGGTATTACTTGAGTACATGGAGCTTTGTGGACATGAGTATGCCAAAATATTGAAACATGTGTCAACAAGGTGGCTGTCATTGGAAAGGTGTGTGCAGCGAACACTTGAAAAGTACAGTGGACTCCAGTCGTACTTTCTAAGTGAAGAATTTGCTGACCAAAGATTTTCAAGGCTGCGAGATGCTTTCACTAATCCTCTAACAGAAGTTGCTCTACTATTTCACCATGCATCAATTCTACTTTTCAACAACTTCAACAAACTGTTGCAATCTGAGGAGCCTATCATTCACATGCTTCTTGATTCCACCATACAACTGGCACGGTCTCTGGCCAACAGGATCATTAAGCCACAAGTTCTAAAGGATACACCAGTTACAGAACTGAATTTGGATGATCCACAGTTTTATAAGCCAGAGCATTCAATCTTTATGGGGGTTACCACAAAGTTCAAGCTTCAAAAACTTCTCAATGATGGAGACATTAGTGAGAGGCAACATTCTCGGGTATTTAAAGCAGCCCAAGCCTATTTTAAGGACTCCCTCAGTTACATTTTGACAAAATTTCCACTGTCACACGAACTAATTATGAAAGCAGGATGGATTGATGTGGGAAGCAGAATAGATTCAAAGTGGGAGAGCGTGGAATTTTTCATAAACAGACTTAAAGCTATTTTTCAACAATTGCCTGTTGACAAGCTTTATGACGAGTTCTGTGACTACTA